CTTTCGTTTTAGCAATCTATAGACTATTAACTTGTTCTAGTTTCGAGCCATTGCAGTAAACGAAAGCTTAACACTCACTTGCTATCCTGAGAGACGATATAAAACTCTCTTATCTGTAGCACAGCTATTAAAGAACTCATCTAGGGTTATTTGACTATGTAAGAAAGTTGTTGCTCTAGGAGTAATACAAGGTCTGTTTGATACAAATACCCTATACTGTACGAAGGTTTAAGAATAATCAAGTTAAGATGATTTGTAATTAAACAGAGAGAAGAGAGAGCAGCAAAGTTCGCTATTCTTCCTTAAGCAACCGGAGGCGGAGCCTAGACGAAGCCCCTCTTACAGATCAAGACGCCCTGCACGCATTAATTAAGCATGCAGAGAGAGCGACAGATGACCCATTAGCTCTTCTAGCCTTTATAGCACTTGTTAACAAGAATCAGATACACGCAGCAGCGTTTGTACTAACATTAGTAGCCGCCTATAAAGAAGAAAAAGCCCTCCGCCTAAAGAAGGAGACTAAGTATTAAGAAGCTCTCTAAGAGAAGGAAACTTAGGAAGAAAGATACCAAGACCTTGACAGAGGCACTAGCATCAAGATTGAGTTGCTAAAGGATCAACTCTGTGACAAGGAGGAGATTATTCAGAACCTCCGCGACAAGGTTATAGCGATATCAAAGCCGCAAGTCTGGGTGGAGTCTCCTTTAGCAACTCTGACAGAACAAGAATCGCCGCCTCAAGAGCAAGTCTCGTTGGAAGCAACTCTAAGCCCCGCGACAGTGCTTAGTACGAAGACAGAGAAGTTGCCTCACCTAGAGGTATTTAAGGACGGGCCTCCTCAGAAGTTCCGCTCCTGGTTGTCAGCCATGAAGATGAAGTTCATGGTTAACATAGCGCTTTTTCTAACAGAACTGTCTAAGGTCGCCTATATACAGTCATGTACTGGCGGTAACGCTCGTAAATTACTTAGGTCCTACTTTGAAGACTTTAAAAGGGCCTAGATTTTAGATATCTTTACAGATATAGCAAATCGCTTTAACTCCTTGTTTCGGTAGGAGACTGCTTGTCAGGAGTATTACTACCTATAGCAAAGGCAGCAGGACCTTGCTGCCTTCCTAAGAGACTTCTGACAGCTTTCTTATGAAGCAAAAGTCTGAGAAGAGGACCAGATTATAGACCTTTAAGATAAGGTTTAAGATAATCTGAAGTAAGTAATTATTCTCTATAGATATATATTAATTCAGGAGATAATTACTGACTTAATATATACTAATATAAATAGTTAATATATTATATTAAATAAACTAGTAGCTAGCGCTAGCATACTAGCAAAACCTTTAGTTTCTAGTACTTGTTAATCTGCTAGCAAATTAATAACAAAGAAAGAAAGGCTAGTAACTAAGCTATAACTTCTAAGAGATATATTTATAGTAAAGTGCTATTATTATAAGAAACTAAAATATTATATAAAGGATTACCCTTAGGCATAAGAGTAATCAGGAAAAAAGCTATCTACTATTAAGACGTTATAAACAGGCCTAGTAGCATAATTAGTAAAGAAGCTATAAGGATCCTTATTATAATAGTAAAGAATAATTTTAAGGCTTTATTTCTAGTTAACATTAGCATTAAAAAGAAGAGAGAAAAATTAATAGTATTAGTACTATTAAATATAAGATATTAGTTAAGCATAATTATAGATTATTAATTAGTAAAACAACTTTGTAAAAAGTTATAAATTAATATAATAGACTTGGCTAAATCTATTCCTATTTCTGATTTTGCTAGTAAAATCTATTAATTTATCTCTTAGGCCCTTTATTTGCTTATATATATTAGTAAATACTAGTAAGGATTACAGATCTTCTATATAATAAAAGTTACGTACCTTATAATCTTAGGGAAAAAGTAAATAAAACTATATAATAATAAATTTATTTAAGTTAAAGTAATAAGCTTAAGGCTAAAGAGTAAGTAGTAGAGAAAGAACTAATAAAGAAGTTATGTAACAAATTTGGCTATATATATATAGCTAAATTTTAGGCTAACCTAATTAAGGCATTACTATTATAAGTAATAAAGATTCTTAAGCGTTCTAAAATAGCCCTAGTTATTTTATAACCTTTATATTTTATTAAGGTAGAGAAGACTCTAGGTAATAGGATAATTATAGCTATTATCTATAAAAGAAAGATTAAGGAGGCTAGGGCAGCCTAGTATAGCACTAAGCCTGTAAGTATTATAGTATTTAAGCAATTATTAATTATCTTTAGTATAGAAATGTTTACTATTATAATAAAGAATATAAATAAATATATTAAAAAACAAATCTAGCTAGAACTAGATCTAAAGAAGGTTCTTCTAATAGAATTTTAAGAATTTGCAAATA